AGTTAATGGGTCTATGCATAGCTGTCGTTTTCGGCAACCCTTAAAAACAGTGATCACGGTGGCGGGACGAAAGAAATAACCACCTATTCTTTTGTTCGAGATCAACTCTCCTGCTATGGTACCACTATTTCCACAAGCTCCCTGAGTCGCTGGTTTCCCTTATAGTCAGTGGAAACCAGCGACTCAGCTGCAAAGAGGTACCCGCCATCAGAAAAGGCTTTTCCCTATCAAAAACCCTCCTATTCGTGAGTTTCTAATAAAGTTTTTTGCGAGAAACTTGGAGAAAAGATCTTCTCAGATAAATGTTAGCATGAGTTCAAGGAAAGCATAAATAGCAACCTGTGTCTGCACCAGGGCTGTCCACCTTGGGTCCACTGCATTCTCCAAGAGTTGTCGTACTCATTTCGAACTTTCTGACCTGCAACTCGATTTTGAAAGTCTGTGAGCCTAACGGTTGCAGATCGACATGCTACTTACATTGGAATTCGGTATCGCCTTTTATGATATGCGTTTGAAAGCAGCTAAACGACAGTTTATCTCCTTCCAAATAGGCCGGTTCACCGCTCGATGGTCCCTTGATCAAATACTCGGGATACTCGATGTTCATCGCACCGCATGAATTGTCTGAAACAGCGATGTGATTGTGTGTGCTTTGTTCCACCTCATCGGGTGTGATGTGATAGGCGCTCTCGGGCCAGTTCTCCTCCTCAGGTCAGGTAACCTAAAATTAAGACGACACCATTCATTTGCTCGAAGCAAGCTTAGGACTGAAGAATAGACGACACCATTCATTTGCTCAAAGCAACCCTAGGACTAAGAATGGGCTCGTAAGCTTCAGTATAAGCCGCAAGTGTAAGCACTACCTTAAGCCTAAGCCTACACGCAAGCATAATCTTAGGCTTCTATGATCACGCAGCTCTGATGACTTGACCTAGGAGGAGAACTGAACGCCCTCTCGGGTGTAGGTCGGGAGATATCTATGCAGCAGTGCCCGAAAATAAGCCGCCGCGCGTACAGCGCCATAATAACACGCTTACGCCTTCTAACGCCGTGCGCAAAGCAACTTGCGACGCAGAAATCGCCACGTCACCGCAGCAGAGATTTCCTGGCCTGCACCCAATGCCATCAGTTTTGAAAATCTCAATCTTAACAGCTGCGGGTGAAAACACGAAGTATCATGAAAGGCATGGAGGTTGCCAAATGGTGTGTTATTTTCTTCGGAAGCTCCACAAGATGGCAAAAGCGTCAAGAGGTTACTGAAACTTTTCTTGTGACAGCCTTGGTACGACGAAGAGATAGAGCGCTGTGAGGAGAGGCAAAACATGAAAGAGCACGTCGTACGTGGAGGGTGCAGACACCACGTATGTTGAGATTTGTAGGAATAGCAGGTCGCAGCGGTGAAGCTAAAGCATTGGGAGAGCGAAAGACCCCTTGTCACGCACTTACGAGTTGCTATAGTATAAGACCACCATCCCTGTGATCAGGGATCCTGCCACCTCACTAGAGGATATAATTTCGCTAAGGATATAATCACGGCTCGTGGCCTTAAGACCAGGGGGGGGGGCGCAACCAGAATGGACTCAGCCGCTCATGATTAACAAATTAATTTTATTTATTATTACCTTTGCACTCAGTTGTGTCGCTACAACAACAACAATCCAGAGTGAGTGTAAATGCTGATCATGCGGGAAGAGATTACTATAATGGGTTGCAGCTTTCTCGCAAGCGGTTTCTTTACCGTAGTGGGGTTGCTAAAGAGGAAGGTGACTTTCCCTTATGTCAGTTTTATCCGTAACTTTTTCGATCTGACCCCACGCAACACAACATGCAGATGTTCTGTGTGTGGACACAATTGGATGGTCAAGATAACACCAAAACCTTCCATCCTTAAGCGATCTGAGCCTGCGCGTTAGCTAAAAATACACGTCGAGAAATAGAAATCGAGAAATTAAGAAAAACGTACATCGAGCAGCTCCCTCAATCCGTTGACTAAGATAGTAATTGTAGGACATCCGTGCTTCGTCACCAAGCAAGCGAGCCTTGAAAAACTGTTTTTCGGGACTTCAAAACGTTGCGATAACAAGGAAGTGTACCTGTAGCATGACAGAGTCGTAAAGGCAAGCGACATCATTTCCGCAATCAGACTCAAGTGAAGCAAGATCGGTTGGACAGCGCAGGTAGAGTTGCCTCTCCTCCGGGAACTCATAATCTGGATCTCCTGAAAGATGTTGAGAACATTGAATCGCTAAGACTATGTATATGTATGCAGAAAGGTAGCAGATTTTCCCTTCAACCAGGCATGAATCAGGATTTCAGCAGGTTGCTAAAGCAACAAAAGGGTTTGAAGCATCTCCGGCTGGCAATTGGTGGAGTAATAGCGATTGATAAAGATGGCGTGGAGAGGACGTGTAGACGTGTTCCTTGAACGCAACTGTACCAATGCGATGAGGATTATCGCCCTCCTTTCCTCCTTGAAGTAAAGAAGGGCGGGGCTGGACGAGTTGTTTGGATTTGCTTGCTCCGTGGCTCCACTAACCCGCGCACATTTGAATTAGCCACTATGCCGCAATCAACGTTGTTTGAAGGCGAGCGCGGGGTCTCGTCCATAGGTTCACATAAGTCGCCATCAGTCACTTTTAAGGACTCTAGCGCCATTATCGCACACATTCGCACCGTGAAACAGCGCATCCGTGAGACACGTGCTCTACTCAATCCCACAAACAGGTCAGATTCTTCGACATGACCTCATATGGGTTGCTTTCAGAAGGAATTCTGCCATGTTATACCATTAGCTTCCACTCCTATCGGTTTCAGCCATTATGAGCGCCCCTTATTTGAGCACTTTTACAAGTTTTACGTATGACAGAAGGCGACTCCTTTTGGGTACTCCAGCATCTATAAGATACTACTACAGAAAGGTTACAGCAAAATGGAGCAGCTAGAGACTCAACACCCCAGTCCACACAACTTTGAGATACCCACTAACAGCCTTTGAAGCTGCAAGCCTGCCATCTTGTGAGTGCTATCATTTTATTTCGAGAATTATGCAAAGAAAATCTAGAGGTGAGAAAGAAAAGGACACACTTCTCGGAGTCCGACAGAAGGCTAGAAAGTTCCTGAAGTCGTTCTCGTTTTGCGGATGGAAAGCGTAACGGCTGCTAAAGTTGAAAGCAAATTAGAAAATACTGGCGATTTGCCAAAATGTGCAACTCACGTTTGATATTTGGATGCCATTTTGTACACAGGCCCTTTAAGAAAATGATCGGCGTAGGCCTGAAAAACCAGTTATTG